TACATACATATACATATATACATGTACACATACACATACACACACACACATACTATCACATACATGCGCAGCTGGCTGCAAACATCGGCCCTGCTGGTTCCCTAGCCCAATGTAACAAGCACCTCTTCAGGACAAGAAGCACAAGGAAAGGATTGTTCAGACACAACGAAGCGAGCTCATGGCCCGCACGGCTACCAGCAGAGCCGAAAGGCCCAAACACGACGATCCATCCACCTTCATGTGCAGAATGGCAGAGGCCAGTGCTAAAAGTCAGAGCTCTAGGTCACTCACACTCCAGCTTCTCTTCGTGCTTTCCTTGGCCTTCCCTGGCTATGCGAGGAGGAGCAGTGTTTATCGGCTTTGCTGCTAACGGTGTGGCCTAGTGAAGTTCGGTAGGTTGCTCTGGCAGCGATACCTAGCAGATGGCCCTCACCCAGCTTCGTCAAAGACGCCAGAACAGCACCCGACAGCCTACAGTACTGAGGATATCGACTTGAGTGTTCCGAATGATCGAGTTTGGGCACGATCTATGTACGGACAATGGAGAACTCAACCCTAGATCCCGAAAGGTCCGGAAGGCTAAGACCGGAGTGTAACGGCGAGTGTGGGACAGAACCTGCTGTTGCCTTCACTGATTGTTTTCTTGCCACTGCCGCGCTGTTCCGTTCAGTGGCGTGCCACAGCTGGGCTTCGCGAAAGGACTTAGAGGACCATCGGTACCGTGGACACAGCAATGTAGTCTGCTGGCCCATCTCTTTGGTCGGAAGGAACATACCGCTGTCAACGCCCTCGGTCACCCTCGACCCTGAGCCCTGCAAGCCGTTCCGAGAAACCCTAAACAAGCCCGGGTCCTACAAGTAATCCCTGACAACTCCACAGTTAGACCCCGAATAGTCCTGGCAGTTTCAGGGTTTTTTCGGGTTTTGGAGTCTCACAAACACTCCGCAGGTTGCCGCTCAGGGCTCTAGGTTTCGGGCTCTAGGGTTTAGCTCAGGGATTGAAAGATTGAGTTCAGGTTCAATTAAGGATGTTACGCTTCTGACTCTGGTACCGAAGGTTCTCGTTTGCATCGGAAAGACCCGATCCTCAAGCAAGGTGTTTGAATATCGCCTTGGCCGCGAAAGCCTCAGAGTCTGGAACCTGAGCACCATGAGACCATGCCGAGTTCCGGAGATTTCCGGCACAGCTGACACAACCCGAACCCTAAGTGTCACTTAACTGAAAGCCTTAACTCCAAGAAAGCGTGGCCTCTTCAGGCAAAGATCGGCTTGTCGAAGAGCTCATCCTCGCTTTTTGCCCGAGCCACATCGTAGTACATGTGCTATATGGAAATCGCCTCGGTCATGCGTGTTCGCCAAGCCCACTCTGCTTTGAAAGATTTGGAGAGTACGGTTCAGTCGGAGGTGAAAATGCAAGGAACACTTTTATCAACCTGCTGATGGATTGAACAGAAAGCGTCGACCGGTGCTTGAAATATACCACCATGAACATGGAACCACTTGCATTCTAAGAGCTTTCAAGCTTGCCCCTAGGTGGACTGCACTGCCCTGAACCCTACAGACACAGATCCCCCAAAATGCTCTGCTTGGTTCGAAGGATCCAGGGCCCATATCTTGAGGCCAAAGCATGTCACGCAAAGGTTCCACCACCCCCCGAAGTTTCAAACCATTTCGATTTCAAATCGGGCTCGTTGATGCAAACGGTGCAGAACCAAGAAATCCTCAAGAACCATAGATATGTCTCCGATCCACTGGCATGGGAGAGGTGGGAGGTGTTTCAGCGTGGTGTCATGGGCGGCGGGGTGTCGGAGTATTACATAAATCATGAGAAATCATTACGGGTGGGGGGGGGGTGGACGCTGCGAACCAGAGACTCCACACACAACCCCGGGTCCGGGTACACTCTGGTCTTATCCTACATGACATCGCCTGTCGAATGTACGATTCGCTGTATGTATGTCTGCTTGCGTGTGCGTTGCAGCTGCATTTCGTGCGCTGTTTGTACTTTTCGTGCTTTCTTTGCATGTAGACCCCAAAAGCTTAACCCCTAAGCGAGCCCTGAAAGCCCCAAGCCGATTCCTACTCAAGCCTAGGCCTGCGAGGCCCAAACGTCCCGAACTCTCGCGGTGCGGAAGGTCGCATCCCATGTAAGGCCTGCAGTGACGGGTTTAGGGTTTCGAGCCTGGGGCTTTGTAGGGTTTAGGAGTTGGAATTTAGGGTCGAAGGCCTTTCAGGGCTTTTTCCCTCCCACTTAGCCAGGACGAGCCCGCATTGCAGGGTAGTTCAGGGTTTGGGGTTTGGGGTGAAACTGGATGCAGTGCTGTGCACAACCCCGAGAGACAAGGAGACTCGGTCCTGTCAAACGCCAAAATGTGATGTTCTGAGTTGCAGGCGGCAGGACCAAGATGGACCAAGAAGGCTAAGGGTGACGCACAAGCTCTGAAGCCTAAACCTATAAAGTCTCAACCCTAAACCCATATGCTAAACCAAAATGCCTAAACAGCAAACCCGAGTCTGAGACTGCAACCTCCCAAAACAACCGTTGAAGCGGCTTGCCAAAGGGCCTTCCTCGTCCCAATCGCACGAGTTCTCCTGGAACGGTGAATGGACATCCTAACCCTGGGGATATAGGGCTTTGGGGTTTAAAATTTTGGGTTTAGGGCCCATAGAAAAAAAGGTTCAGGGTCAAGGACACACACACAGACACACTGCATCTATTTCAACACTTGCTTACTGCCATAGACAGTATGTTTATGTATGTACACATGCATACCCACCTCTTGCGCTCCTCAAAAATCGACGGTTCTAGCTTCAACGTTCCCTAAACTCTATAAAGCCTAGACCCCTAAACCCCTTCTAGAGCGGCCTAGAAACCTCCAGGTCACGAACCTCCATGTTAGAACCGGCACTCAGGTGAAGGCGCATCGCAGTCTGCATGGAGGAGCCGAGCGGCTTCACGGAAGAGTTCGTCAAGCGGTAGACTTCTATAAAGTATCCCTGGCATGGACCCACGACTGAGCTCTCCATGCGATAGTGGCACTGGTCTCCATGGAAGTAGAGGGCGTGGTTCCGGGATGTTCCGGGTCATGGTGGAGTTGATGATGCTAAAGTTGCCAATGGTTTCGACATGGGCATTCAGAGCCGAGTTCAGGATGCTCAAGTTACCAGTAGCTTCCATACGAGCATGCTCCAGCGTCGAGTCTTCAACAACGCCAAGACTTCGGATATCGAAGTCGATGTTATAGAGAAGAAAACCTAGGACCTAAGGCAGGGAAGTGAAATCATTACACATCACTCCACACATCCATGAACATGAACGGACAGGCGAGGTTCGTGGATGGAAAATTCTCCATGTCGTCGTCGGTTTCCACTGCGAAGTGCTTTGGACTCGCGTAATGCTCATGCCAAGATCACACTCGGGACTCGGAAGGAGCCAGAATAGCATGGCCTCCCGACCAGGATGGGCCATTCAAAGACATGACATCAAGTTGGCCGCGACTTGAACCATTCTTCCCACATGCACTCGGCCTCGAGTCGTCAGCGCCCTAGACAAGCTGCTTCCTCGGAGGATAAGATTGTGCATGGATCCTTGGTCGGTGCAGGGGAGATGCACTCTGGCAGTAAGCATATCTACTCCCACGGATGCAGAGAGGCATTCAGCGGCAAACACCATTCTTGCCGGTGCCCCTGTCGAATGTGAGGAACATGTCTTCAGGACAAGAGGCAAACGGAAAGGATAGTTTTCGACACGGAGAAACGAGCCCATAGCAGGCCAGCTACCAGTAGAGCTAGGAAGCCAGAATGCTGCGATCCATCAGTCTGAGCAAACACACCTCACCGGCTAACCGCGCAGGTCAACGTTCACGGTCACTCACGTGTCGGTTGTCTTATGACGACAGTCTGGGCTTCAAGGTTGGTGGTAAGCGGCCTTGGGGGTTTTAGATTTTAGGGCGCCTAGTCAGAGGCCCTCATGAAGCTTAATTAGACTAAATCAGCAAAGGCAAGATGCCTGAGTCCGAACCTCAAGCGCCTGGAAAGGCGATACACTCTCTCTCAAGATTCGATCTTCCACTCCATGCACCTCAACTCTGCAGGAAGCCAGAGAAAGATCGTGTCCTTTTACACCTGGGCTATGCATATGCCAGAACCGAGGGGCCAAACCGTACATGCCGGGCTTAGTGGTGTTGTGGAGTCTCAAAGCACTCAGGCGAGGCCGCTCCCCTTGTATGCACCTGAACGCTGACCTGATCCTCATGTCGGCATGACAGATATGCCCTGTTGTTTTTCGGCCGCGAATGTGAAAATGGTCTCGAACTTGGAAGCCTCGGAATCGGACCTGAGCACCACGGAGCCATGCCGAGTTTCGCAGTTTCGGGATAAGCCACAGCCACAGCTGGCAAAACTACATGCAAACATGCACGCATGGCCTCGTTAGGCAAAGATCGGCTTGTCCAAGAGTTCGTCCTCGCTCTTTGCCCGAGCCACGTCGTAGTACATGTGCTGTATGGACTTCGCCTCAATCACTTGCAATCGCCAAGCCCGCCCTGCTATGAAGGAACCATGCATAAAAACATGCAGCCTCACTGCATGGCCACCTCCACTCGAAGAGCTGTCAAGTTCAACCCGTACTAAACTACTAAACTACTGAACTCTTGCTTGTACCGAAGGGTCCGCAGGCCTTGTATGTTGGGACCAAGTGGACACCCGATGGACTATCCTGTGATATGCACGCATCTAGGCACATGACCGGCGGGCTGTTGCCTAATTCAAGCAAAAAGTTCTCAGGCGGAGATGCTGAATAGCCACGCGCTGATGGTCGATATCTCATGCCAAGACTGATGTATCCCTCCGGTGCAGCCCTGTGGCCGTGAGGTACTCCTGCATGAGGAACTGCACTTCGCCGATCTGCTTCATGTTCTCTGTCTCAACCCAGAAGTTGACGAGAATGTTCGTTCGCTCCTCAAAAAACATGGACACGCTGCCCTGCAACCCGATCCCTGCTCGGGCGGCCTCCGTTTTCAGCTTCTCGTTCGCAAACTTGTTCTTCACTCGCACGATCTTGAAGCGCTTCTTCAGGGCAGCTCGAGGATTCATGCGAAGGTTCACGCTCGGAACGTTTGGAAAGAGACTTCGAGCTGTCCTGGAACTCGTGGAAGGCGAGGGCCAGCGCAAATGGGTCCGCTGCGTAGATAGTGGCACGCAGGAAGTCACACACATATCCTTGGGCGAGAGCATGGTGCTGACTCCAAGACTCTGGCTATGGCGATAGCCGCTGTACCGAGTATGAGTATGAAAGGCATGGTGGTGATGAGCCCTCAACCCTAGTGTGTTTATAGCGCCTTTTTGGTTGTCAAAAACCCACTGATACGGTGGACAAGCAACCAGGTCCGGCCTTGCTGTCATCCGTTCTCGCGAGCGTTTTATCCCACTAAGCCGCCCACGAACAAGCGAAGTGTGCAAAGGTTCTGGGGAGAAGTGCTGGACATCGTGGATTGGACTGTTTTGCATATGAGAGATCGTGATCTTAGCAACCGCAAAGGCTGTCCAGCCAGTCGTAGCAGTCCTAGTACCCGGAGTCGTCGTACCACTAGTGCTAGAGATTTTGGTAGTAGAAGTCGTCCTGGTTGTCGTTGTATTCGTTGTCGTCGTCGTCGTCGTCGTCGAAAGTGAGGAGTAGGAGAAGTGGCACCTGCAGCATCAGCAGCAGCAGCAGCAGCAGGAGGAGCAGTAAAACCCAGCCATGGGCGTCTCAAGTGACTCCAGTGATCGCCATAAGTGAAATAATCCCAAGAGAGAAACTGAGAAACATATAGATTATCCGCATGTTTGAAAATTAAGCTTACAATCGGTACAACAAGCACAGCATCCAACAACACGAGCAGTACAAACCAGTAAAGCAATGCTTGCCGCCATCTTAGCGACCATGACAAAATAGGGAAGAAAGTGAAGGGATCTTCTGCAGAAGAAAAACTAAACGGCAACATCACAAGCAGTGTTAGCAGCTATCGTCACAGTGTGTAGCGGCAATACATGTAGTTATCGTGATTACTAGAAAAAAGTCGCGACACTCGTCGTGGCTGGCAGTAGGTGTAGTCGTCGTAGTAAGTAGTAGTCGTAGTAGTAGTAGTAGTAGTTGTTGTCGTCGTCGTCGTCGTCGTCGTCGTCCTCGTCGTCGTCGTCGTCCTCGTCGTCGTCGTCGTCGTAATAATAGTAATAATAATAATAATAATAATAATAGTAATAAAAAAAGTAGTAGTAGTAGTAGTAGTAGGAGGAGGAGGAGGAGCAGCAGCAGCAGCAGTAGTAGTAGTAGTAGCAGTAGCAGGAGTAGTAGCAGTAGTTTTCGTAGTAGTCGTCGTCGTCGTCGTAGTAGTAGTACCAGCAGCGGCAGTAGTTGCAGCAGTCGTAGTAGCAGCAGTAATGATCATAGTAGAAGAAGAACTGGTAGCAGTTCTAGTGGTCGTCGTTGTGACAGTCGTTGTTGTTGTAGTAGGAGTCGTGGTCCTTCTGGTTTCGAAGCCACATGGCATGCCAAAGGAAGCAAAGGTTCGTGCCAGTGGCTGTTCTTTCTTCTTCCCGGCCTCGAAGTCCTTCAGACGTTTTGTTTTCTCACAAATACTACTTCCTCGCATTGACATGCTAGCATACAGACCGCCCTGCAAAGGTCCTGCTGGTAGTCCGTGTTGATCTTTGCTTGAGCCCGCTCCTGCACTGTTTCACTACAGGTGCTTTACAGCTCTTGGTGATCTAGCCTAGCTTAGAGAAGATCACGGCGACCTTGCTTTTGATAGAGGCCACCATGAGCCCGAAGTGGCGGCCAACTTCAGCACCATCTTCGTGCTGCAAACGGTAGAGCGACGGGTCCTTCGCAAGTTGCCGTGGCCCTACACCTTAACCAACAATCAATTTGAACTCTTAAATCTGCCAGTCGAGACCGTTGTCCAGCCGCAGCTTCTCGTCGAACTCCCCAACCTCCTT